CATATCTAAGGATCGGGAGCTCATGAAGGATTGAAATAAAGTTCATATATATATATATATATATATATATATATATATAATTCCAGAATCATTTTCCAACTTCTTCAAGATGATCTTTGCCCTCTCTGACCTTCTAAGTTTCTGTCCTGCAGTAACAAAGTGCCACACATGTTTCACGTGCGATTTCATTTTTAAGTCTTTTTTCACTGTTCTTTAAACTGTCATAAGTGAAACAAAGAGTTGTACAGTGATTCTTACTACAAATGATGTCAAGATGGCTAAACGACTTATTTGAAAACTTGGGAAAAATAAACTCAATTAGTTTAGTGGATTTTTAGATATTAAACATTTTGCAGGATGGACAATTATGCTGTTCAACGATTTAAACAACTTTGCTGTTACACTCGGTATCACGCGCGCACACACACACACACACACACACATATATATATATCTGTGTATGTGTGCGTTCGTCTGTGTTTCGTTAAAGACGACTTACAAGGTAATGCGATTAAGCTTTTTATTTAATTTTTCTTGTGTTTTCTTTTCTAGACACAAAGTCTGTAAAAACTGCCCAAAAGTTCTGCATATTCGAACGCTTTCGGCTATTCTTTTAGCCATTATCATGGGTGATTTTATTTTTACTTTTTAACTGAATGTATTGGTTGTGTTATGCATATATCAAAAGTTATACGAATGTTTTATTTTCCAAACACTGTCAGCACATTGTGTCCGTGTTCATGGATAATGTTATTGAATGCTGGCATTTTCTATTTAATATTATTAGGGCTTCGATTATTTTTAATCGTTTTTTTTTACATGTGAATGATGTAATGATGCTTGTATTTTCTAATAGTATGCTTCGGGCAGAGTCTGTTATATTTGGGTGTCTGTCTAAATGAGTTCTAATGGAGCCGTGGTCAGATAGGTGTAAAATAAATCGTCTGGATAGTGTGACCGATGTAATTATTTATGAGTTTGGTTTGATCAGGAATACAGTTTTAAGGGGCATTTGAATTCGTAAATAATGTTGGTTCTTGTAGTTTTAATTTTACGGGCGTGTTTTTTATAAGATTTGCTGGTTTTAACATTTTTGTAATATATATATATATATATATATATATATATATATATATATATATATATATATATATATATATATATATATATATATATATATATATATATATATATACAGTAGTAACCCGTTGGTATAGTCTAAGGAGTACTATTAACACAATATAGAATTTGAAATATTAAATATTAAATGTTAAAACTGACTTATATATATATATATATATATATATATATATATATATATATATATATATATATATATATATATATATATAGCTCTGTTTCATAACATTCAGCACTGTATTTATAACACCTAAGGGATAAATATACTTACGTACGTGCAGTATTTGTGCGTGTATGTACATTTTTATCTTGCCCATATATATATATATATATATATATATATATATATATATATATATATATAAATCGAAAAAAATATTCACTGAAGTGTGGACACAGACAGGTTCGTCTACGAAACTCTGCAGTTGGCATGTTGAAAGGAACATCAGTCAGCTCAGTGACAAATTTTACTCTCATTAAACCTACTATATATCTATATCTCTATCTATCTATCTATCTATATATATATATATATATATATATATATATATATATATATATATATATATATACAGTGGATTCTTTATATCTGTAGTGCTTCATATCCGGAATCCTGCATATCCGGACATGATTTTGATGTGTATATTTGAACTATTTGGGTGATATGTAACTCATTTGAAATTTTTGTTTTTCAGGAAATTTACTTTGGATATTTACTTATGCTTATTTCACGCTAATGGCTTGTATTGGCGCAAAAGATGATGGGAATAAATGGAAAAAAACAACTTTGGAGTTATCGCTAAAAGTGCAAATTTTAAACAGACTAGACGGTGGTGAAAGTTCATTGTGACTAATGGATGAGTTCAACATAGCAAAGTCAACATTGTATGATATAAAATCTTCTAAAGAAACTATTCTCCAGCATTCACACTATCACAATCAATTACACCACAATGCACATCACACTACTAGCAATACTATTTCGACAACTAGCAGTATAACCCGTCTTCGACCGGGTGTTTCATTACTGGAACTTTTTACCGTTCAATTGGAGTAGTTTAAGTTTAAAGTCAGCCCACCTGAAAGTAAATATTAGTAACAACAATTGGGTGCAACTGAGGCACATCCCCAAATAGGGGGCTTAACAATTTGAATGGAGGGTGGCCCTGCAAATGGCCGTTTTTGCGTTCTCAATCTTGCAAGGAAGGAACCTCTTCCATGGACCGTCATAATAATAATATACGATAATTTTTATTTATAATATATTTTTTTTTATAATTCTAAAAATCTTTTGCGTTAGATTTTAACTCTCTAAATTGATTGGACCCTGTTTTTTACTGATATTAAATTTTATCTTTGATTTTTGCACAAAGTGTAAAAAAATCAGTTTTTTCGATTTTTCACCTTCAAGGTTGTAATATTTTCCAGCCAATTTGAACTCAAAACCGGCACTTAAGAATTATCTATCAAACAAAAAAAATCCATCGAAATCGAATGAAAACTGTGGAAAGGCATAAACAACATCCGATCTCACACACACACACACACACACACACACACACACACACACACACACACACACACACACACACACACACACACACACATTTTGAGAATTATAGATATAAATGCTTTAACATTTTCTTTAGGACAGTAACTGTTTGTCAATTTTTATCCGTGTCTGCAATGTTCAACGCATTAAAATGGAGTAAGAGAGGCCATTTTATCTGCTTATGGAGATTTACTAAGCATATCTTAGATTTGGTACAAGGCCATTTTATCTGCTTATATATCGTTAAGTTACATAAGCAGTTGTTACGAGACTGTAACTGTAATTCTTGCCACATGATCACAACTTTTTGGCTCATCAGTGTTTGCAAAAGAGTAACACTTTCAAGATGTTTTTGCTTCGCGAGAGATTTCATTGTAAAATATTCCGTTGCTTTCACAACCTGGACACTTCGGCCAATTGCTTGACCGGAGGCGTTGCATAACGCAACGCGTTCGTCTCTTCTGATGGAAGCCTATTAAGGTCTGAATCCAAGCAAGGCTAAGATCGTCAACAGGAAACGAAATGAAGTGGACAGTGGTTGGCTGGACAGCAGCGAGAGCATTGGGCACAGGTAGGGTGTGAAGGATGAAAACCTTCCAGCTTCTTCCCCAATCTAATATTCTTCTCAGTGGGTGGGGTGCCCAAATTAGATTTCTGCCTGATGAATACACGGAATTTGAAACCAGATGTGTCATCGATCTGCCCTGCTTTTCGAAGACAGAAACCATTTCTGACAAAAGGCCAATTTTCTGGAGCACTAGAAAAGGATGACATGTTTGCGATATATGCACATTCGGACAAGCACCCTCACAGATTATTTAGATTAATCCATGAGTCCAAAAATAGGCATGATTGGGAAGGAACGAGCTTTCATTATAAACTCTGCTAACGACTTTGAATCGATCATAAAAAAAAAAGTTTAAATAGAAAAAATCACTGAAATTCAAATAGATTTTCAAATTTAGTTTTGGACTTCAGGTCTTCTTTTTTTTCTAATCATTTCATCTCAAGAAAGGCAATAAAGCCACTAAGACGCGAGGAGTTACTGAGCGTGAAAGAATATGAGAAAAAGAAAAGACTGAACAGAAATTCAGAAGACAGAAAATATTGATTGACATGGTATTTAATTCTTTGAAGATGGAAGTTGATTGGAAAGCACAGGACCGGAAGAGAGTTCCACAAGCGAGAAGTGCGACAGAAGAAACTGTTAGCATAGAACTTACGGTTACATCTAGCCAACACAACTGTAAAATGATGAGACTTTGCCGCCAATCTAGTACTGCACTTAAATTCACAAGGAGGAAAGCTCATCAGAAGAGCAACTATGAAAGTATTTATAGAAAAGTATACTGGTACGTCATGGATAGGCTGATGAATACCTACAAAATTAGCTCTCTATCACATTAGAACTAAGGGCCAGCGCAAAGGTCTCTTTGCCTCCCCCGTAATCCGATCTATGATACCCCCGAATATCTATGATACTGGACTCCCGTTCTACTACATATCACTTTTTATAAGGTAGTATTCATATAAAATACGAATTTTATTGTAACCTAATTATGTACAATAATGGATCATATGCAATATAGGTGAACAATTCAACTAGAAAAATTGAAAATAAATACAATGTATCTAAATACAAATTAGAGACATGTCATTCCATCTTAAATGTTTTGTGGCAATTTTTAACATCAGTTTGAGATTTTTCTTGCTAAAAAGCTAAATAATTTTTAACACGTTCAATATTTGAATAAAAAAAATAGTGAATTTTATTTCGTGTTTTTTTCGAGACTTTGCATGAGCAACACAAATTCACGTTTGTTTGGACAAAAAAAAGATCCCAGAATGACGTCAAAATCCGCGAAAATCTATCATCCTTTAATAATCAGTTGTGCTTAGTTTAATTTGCAACCTATTTAAATGTAGGTAAAAAGGCAGATGTTGATAAGGTAGCGAGTGTCATAAAACACTGCCCAGGGCTCTCAATCAGACCGCCTCCCCTCGATCTGGAGATTCAAGGGTAGTACGCACCGGCCTTGCCAGAACGAGACGCACGCGTAAAGTCAGTTTAATGATTTGTATTTTGAATAAGTTCTTCACCTATAAAATTCAAGCAAATATTAGAAATCTTTCATTTGTGAAACCGTGAGTTACCGACCCAGCAGCATTTCCTGAAAATAATGTTGATTTTTTATGGTTTACGTTCGATAACAAAAATTCACGATTTCGTTTCTTTTACAAAAAAAAAAAAAAAAAATGCCGTCTATAAAATGCAAGAATTCTGTCTTGGCATTTTCTGCAATAGGCGATGTGTTGCGAAACACCATCGACAATTCTTCCTCACCCGCGCCTCCATTCATTTATTTACTCAAACAGGCGTGAATTTACACGTGTCTATATGCGCCAGAAAATAAGCGTTGATTAATTTTTATTCTAATATTTTTTTTGTTTAAACGAAGTATAAAATAAAAGATAATATCGAAAAAATTACCAAAAGGTATTCATTAAAAAAACAAAAACGATGATTGCGATAAAAGAAAGCGAGCTGCAAGTAATTTAGTTTACTTCATTTATGTGCATCCATATTATTTGCAGAGATTTCCGATGACGGATGACGAAAGTCTAGGAAAAATAGCTGACCCTTTTTCGAAGTGTGGGGGCTTTTGCTAGAACTGTGTGCGTGTGTGTGATCCGAAGGGAGGGACAGGAAGGCAACAGACTGACTCTTCGTCTCTCTAGAGAATGTGTGTGAGAATGTCGATCGAAGTGAAATGACGTATTGAGTAATAAAAATGCAACACAATTTCTCCCTCGCCGTTTGTTGATTCTATACAAGCGCTACAAACAGTGTGTGTCTTCATCGGCCTTTCCTTCCTTCCTTCTTTCCTTGCAGAATTGCATCAGCCGGTCTGATTCAAAAGAATTGATGACTAAGTCAAGGTTTTGCCAGGCTAACGAAAGGAAAGAAAGAAGGTTGGATTTTTCCCGCCATTGCTGAACATGCCGTCATATTAACTCCACGTGCGTTTACGACATTTTCTATATGCAACAAACAACCGATGTATTTTTATAAGATATAAGATTTTAACATAAGTATCAGTGTAAAATGGTTGAGATTTTAATAAAATCTGTGGAGTGTTTTTGTTTTAGGATTTAAATTTAAAAATAAAATGTTTTTCTTATTTTTTGTAAAAAACGCGATTTTGCAATAGAATTGGTAAAAACATGATTTTTACATTATAAAATTTAAAGCACAATGCAAACTTGAATTTAAAATAGAAATAGTTGTGATATTTAATTTTTTTTTAAATTAATTATTATTTGCTTAGCTTAAATCAATGAATTTTAATTTCGTTCTCAGAATTTTGATTTTAATTATAGAGTTATGTTATTTTTAAATTTTGAATATCATTAATTTATCAAATTATTTGTTTTATTATTTTATCTTAAAGTTTTTTTTTTATTTATATATTTAAATTTAATAAGTAATTTGTTTTTATTTTATATTTTCACGTTTTTAATTTTACCCAAATTTGCAATCGCCACTGTTATGTCAAAATTCTTCTTGAAATTCAGTTCCCCACAAAACCTACCTATCCTCGAAAACCTGTTAATTTACGACTCGAAATATAAGCTTATGGAAGTGGGGGATCAAAATGGGCACTTGTAGGAAGAAGGGACTCTGACTGTAAAGTTGACAAGAGGTCGACATTGTTGTTGTTTTGTTGTCATATTTTAAAAAAATAAAGGTCTCTAAACGTTGAAGTAACTGTTTTTAAATTAAAATAAATTAATAAAAAATTAACATTTTTTTTTTTTGCTCTTAAAGTTATACATTTTAAAATTATTCTGGATTAAATTTTGTTTTTAAAGCATTTCATTGTCGTTGTCGTTGGATTTTTTTATTTTTACTTTATTTATTTTATTTTCTTTTCATTTTTCTCATTTGCAAAATTGATTTCTTTTTTCTGGGCAAGATCATTCTACAATTATTTTCAAATATTTTTTCTTCTTTTATATCGTTTCAGACTTAATTTTTTACTTATGTTCCTAATTATTTTCTAATTTATTTATTTTTAAATACCCAGTTTTTGTACTTCCTTGTGTTTTTGGAAAAATACGATTGATACCACCTCGCCACTGAACCATTATTCGCTAAATATTAACGTCATCACACATACACACACGCACACACTTACACACACACACCAAATCGTAAAAATCCATTCTTGGATTCCAGATTTCTTTGTCTGACGTAACAACAGGCAATTCCATTCGCTAGTCAGAGCCTATAATCTTTTGGTGTTTTCTTGAAAGAATTTCCTGATATTAGGGAATTTAAAACTCCATGAGAAGGAAAAACGTTGCTTGCACGAATAAGAAAATAAAAAAAAAACGTACGAAGAAAGGAAAAAAATATTTTTAAGTATTTTTTATGTCTTTTTTAGAAAATATTTTAATGTTTGTTGAACATGAAAAGCCAACCACTTCAAATATTTTTGAGAAATTAAGATTTATTTATTTGAATTATAAACTTGAATTAATTAATAAATGCATTAATTTATTTGAGTTGCTTCTTTAATTAACATTTTTACTAAGTTACAAATTATGACAAACTTTGCGTCGAGTAAATTAAATTCTTGCTCATAATGTTTAGCGCTAATTTTCATTAATTAAAGAAAATTTTTGCTTTTATTTTGTATTTTTTCTTTTTGTCTGTCGTCCCTTCATTCCCTCTCTCTTTATTTCACTCTCTCTCTCTCTCTCTCTCTCTCTCTCTCTATATATATATATATATATATATATATATATATATATATTCTTCAATCTATTACTCTCTTTCAATAGCTCCCTCTCTCTATTTCTCTCCTTCAACCTTTCGTTTCTCTCGCTCTCTTTCTTTATCTATGTCTATCTATCTAGCTATTAAGCTAGCTATTTGGCTATCTCCTTCAGTGCCTCTCTCTTTATCTCCCTCTCTCTAATATATCCTTCAGTCTTTCTCTCTATCTCTCTTCGTCCCTCTATCTCTTCCCTTCAATCTGTCATTCTCTCTCTCTCTCTCTCTCTCTCTCTATCTATCTATCTATCTATCTATCTATCCTTCACACACTCTCTCTCTCTCTTTCTCTCCCCATCAATCTCTGAATCTCCAATCTTTCTCGTTGTCTGTCTCTCTTTCAGTTTCTCTCTTTCACTCCATAATTCTCTCTTTCTTTCAGTCTCTCTCTACTTCCATTAAACCCTCTCTCGCCAGTTCCTTTCTATCTCTCATTCAATCTTTCCTCCATTCTCTTTCTTTCCTCCTCATTTTTTATCTCTTTCTTGCGATTCTGCTCTTTTTTAACCACTCTTACTCTTTCTTTCTCTATCACTTTCCCTTCTTCTTCTTCTTCTTCTTCTTCTTCTTCTTCTTCTTCTTCTTCTTCATTTCATTAACGTTCAAAGAAACACGTATTTTAGAATTCAAGACCAAATTTTATTTTTGTAATACTTTTAGGCGCCCATTTTTAAAAAAAATTGAACACCAAACGATCACAAGTTTATTTTTATTTAAATATTAAACTTTAATACAAAAAAACTGAGCGTCAATTGTGGTTTGAAAACTCGTCTACTTTGCTGCATGTGCCGGCTCTGCGGCAGGCGCCCTCTACAGACGGTTTATATTTAGCCGAGAGAGAGAATTACATAAAGCTAACAAAGAGACAGGAATACGACTCATGATACTAGAAATACTAATGACTTTGTTCTTCTATGGTAAATAGGCAACACGCACTTTGCTTACTGACTGCTATGTAGCCGTTGCTCATCTAATAAAAACGTCGATTGCTTTAACTTTCCTGTTCAGATTTGCAACTAGAATTTCTTATTTCCTTTTTAATTAAGGGTTCGAGGTCTCAGAATGATTAATAAAGATACTATTGATCTTTTAAAAATACGAGATTCATGACAAAAACATCTGCTCCAGCAACGACTACAATACAACGAAACAGGTTTTGATATTGTTTTGACGTTGCATGAAGCAACAACGTGGTCTAGAATGGTAGGGTGGTATTGGGTAGGAGAATTTAAGAGAGAAAGATTGTGTTGCGTTTGTCTTTCAGGAGGGTTTGCCTGTTGTAAAAATGGCATTCTTTTTTCTTTCTTTTTTACCTGGCTTTTATTTGGACTTACAAGCGTAATTGATATTGGCGGGAAAATATTCAACGCGCCACCACCAGACAAACGCTTTCTGAGGTTATGGTTTCCTCTTCTTACGTAACGACATTGAAATGAATGTTGTAATTTTCGCTTTCTTGTTTGTTTGTTTTTTTGGGTTTTTGTTTGTTTTTTTTTTTTTTGTTTTTTTTAGTAGGCGGACAAGAAACAGGCTCTTTCTTTTTTGTTTTGGCGCTCTATATCAGTTAATTGGAATTTTAGCAATGACAAATCCATTTTTATTTATTTATTTATTTTCAATTTGTGGAATTGTCGTAACGGGGCAAGAAATCGATCGTGTTTTTCACTGAAACGCGTTCGTTTTGTTATCCTGATACAGTTAATGTCTGAAAGACACATTTGCAAATAAGCCACAAATGCAAATTATTTGGCTTCATAAAATATTTTATTTGAATTTAAAATTTAATTTAGCATATTTACATTCGGACTAACGACCTATTTTTGTTGATATCACAACATTTCGACGGCTGTACCCTTTGGACTTCTTCAGGAAGTGTCTGTCGATTCCGTTAACCTTCAGGGAATTTCGAAGTTAACCCTTAAAGCGTCGGTACGTGAATCGGGTGGCATAATTGTGAGTTCGGGTAGAGCAAACACAGAAATGGAAACAGGGTAAGCAATGAATGAACAGTGCTAAAAACAAACAAAATCAAAACAATTGAATATATCTCAAGACATTGACGGTGGAACGAGAACATTCTCTACCATTGTAAATTAAATAGATTCAGTTCATATTTCCCAGAAGGTCACCAACATCGACAGACTGCAGTGACCCCCACCCGATAAAATAAAATAAAATGAAATAAAATATAAAACTAAAAAAACGTACAAACAAAAATAAAATCAATTCAAATTAAAATAAGGCATTTTCTTTCCTTTAAAATCTATATATTTCTTTTCTTTCTCTATGCTTCTCATCCAAGCTGATTAGAAGGCAACCCTCAAATAAAAAGAGGAAGAAGAAGAAAAAACTGGACCCGCGGAAAAGGGCGAAGGTTTGTCTAGACATTTGTGAGCAGAATTTACTAAAATAAGAGACGCACAATTTCCGTTATATAAAACATGTCTTAAACAGGTGAATGATGAACTTCACACAACGCGCATGGCTGTTTTTTTGGATGCTCCATTCTTTTGCAGATAGCGGAATACCAGCACCATGTTAATTTATAGAACATAGTGACATCTATAGAACTTAGTGACATTTGTAATACCCTGTACCTAACTGACTTATAGAACACTCTGTACCTAGGTGACATTTGCAAAACCCGGTACCTAGCAGACTTATAGAAAACCCTGTACCTGTTGACGTTTTCAGTACCCTGTACATAGCTGATTTACAGAATACACTGTACTTAAGTAACTTTTGCAATACGCTGTACCTAGTTGATTTTAAAACACCCTGTACGTAATTGACGCTTCCAGTACCCTATACCTAGGTGACTTCTGGAATACGCTGCTCCGAGTTGATTTTAAAATACCCTATACCTAAGTGACGTTTGGAATACGCTATTTCTCCATCTGTCACATACTGTCTGTGTGTGACTTTGCATGCGTGTACATAATGTATAAGTGTATGTGTTGTGTGTGACTTCTATGTGCTTGTGCCATTTAATGCGTGCATAAAATTTGTCTGAGTTTAAAACAAGACATTGGAATAATACATGCCCCACCCACACCTAGTCTGGGAAACCCCAAGCCAGGTTTGAGCAATAAAATCATCAAATTGAAGACAAGAAGAAAAAAGAAAGAAAAGAAATCCTTATCAACAGCTATATATTTGTCAAATTGTCTTTTGTCTTATGTACGTATGGCTGTAAAACTAAACAAAACTAAATCATTTACAATCGTAGGGGCGTTATTATAACTCTGTGTAAATAATTATAAACGTCCTAAGATTTACATCTACAAAAATACTCGTAAAAATGGGAAATGGCTGTTATGTAGTGTTGTAGCAGTGGTGGTATCCTAAATTTCTAGGAACTGGTTCTATAAAGGCTGGTAATCTTTAGGAAGATATTCTGCTTATTTTCTTTTCAATCTGAGAATGGAGACAAATCACTTTATAGTATCAACAAGAATTAAACCATTTTGATAATTTAATAGAAAACATTTATTTATTTATTTCTCAATTGAAATTCTGTTCTCATCATATTTTTGGACAGAAGTATGGAACTTTTTTTATTCTAGTGTCATCAGCTGTGTTATAGTTTCATAGCCACATTTAAACTGAATCACTGCAATCCCAAAGATCCAATGGAAAACCTATCAATTTTATTACTGGAAGATTTGCCATATTTTTCAATTCAAGACTGTAGGGAGCTTATTAGAGTTTCATTAGGCGCCCGCATTAGTGTAGCATAACTAACACTTTACCTAGACCATCGGCTATTAATATATAAGATTATTTTCGGATATTCCAAAAACTGGTTCGATAAGCTTTTATAATTTTAAGAATCGGTTCGCGTAGGAAGCCATCACTATATTGGGGACGCATGAAACAGCAATAATGAGTAAAATTGCGAGTTTGAGGTCAAATGTAGATCAAATATAGATCGAAATCCGACAGAAATGATAATAGATAAATAATATACAGTCTTCCTCGCATGTGTGTGTGTGTGTGTGTGTGTGTGTGTGTGTGTGTGTGTGTGTGTGTGTGTGTGTGTGTGTGTGTGTGTGAGTTCAGATAATTTAGTTAGAAAATACAAGAAGTGTCTGGGGTTTTCTTACCTCGAATTTTTGTTGAGTGCTAAGAGATAAATGTTACTATCCTGGCTTGAAAAAGGAAAAGGAGCCGAAATTTTCGATGAATCAGGTGTTAACGGCCTGTTCCTGCTGAATGCTTGTCCAATAATATGTCACGTGTCTTTGTGTGCAGGGTAGAAAAGTGGGGGCGATTTTCATTGCTTTTAAAATAGTGAATTAATGATAATTATAATTGTTATAATTATTTTATTATAATTATTTTTGATCCTATAATTATTTTTTATAAGCACAACACAGTGACGGTATAATTAATTGTTTTATTTCTGTATTTCTTTATGGGCACGATACATTGAACGCGCTTTAATATCTCGTTGTTTATTACTTCATCCACCACGGAGTCACTGTCCATCAAGTTTATATTTATCGTTTTATTTTATTTTTTATTTTATTTTTCACATTCTAACCCACAGATCAGATTCCTAATGTCTAAAATCGGTACCGAATTAGGGACAAAGTCTTAAAATGATTTCCAATAAGCTACAAATATATAGAATTTGAAAAGGTGAGTTTGTAAATCTTCACCCTATGGGGCGAAATTCAAAGAAAAAAAGAATTTCAGATAAAATTAAACCAACAATAAATACGTATTTTAAAAAAAGTCTTTATTTCAACTAAACAAATTTCTTATCAGACAATTTTCATTTTTCATTTAAACATTCCAACATTTTTTTAACAGGGACAGGTAAGTAAACATTTCATTTTATTTGTTGTTATTAAATGAACGTTCTATCTCTTTATATTAAGCACTTTAATTACAAAGGCCGCTTACCTTAAACGTGTTATTTCCTACAAATATTTTGGTCGACCATTGTTTTTTTTTTTTTTTTTTTTTTTTTTTTTTTTTTGCGAAACACAATGTTCGTTTCTGTTATATACAAATATAGGTAAATATATTATTTAGCTTTTCATAACTAATAAATAAAAGTAATTGGTTTGTCACTTCGATGATTGATGTTATTTTCAGTATCCCGACTCCAGAGTTTCGTAGACGGACCCTCCGGGAATCACTCCGTCCACTCGTCAGCGATATCAGCATTTGACTGTTGATACTTCTCGATTTTTTATATGCTTTTTTCATTGGTGTAAGTTGTTTTTTTTAATTGCATAGTGTATGTCTGCGTTCGCGCGAGTGCGCCCATACACCCCTCTCTGCGGATGTGTGTACGTGTAGAATGCCGTCATTATTTGCCCTTTTCGTCTTTTTTCCCCCCTTTTCATTCACTTCTAAAATATTTCTCTCTTTTTTCCTCTTTTATATTTTGATTTTTACCCTTACTGCGTATATGGTAAAATCAAATTTTCGTTTGGGGCTGACCTTTTATATATATATCAATTAAAAGGTGCAATTATAATTTACAAATTCATGAATCATTCATACAAAAAAAACAAATATAGAGGTTAATGATTTAAATGGCGAGAATACATCGTCGCAAACAATATAAATAAGATACATCAACCCCGAACCTGTATATGAATCATACAATATTTTTTCGGATTACATAGAGATGTAATCCGAAAAAATATTTGTTTTTTGTATGAATGATTCATGAATTTGTAAATTATAATTGCACCTTTTAATTGAAATTAAAATAACTGATCCAATGTGCAACTCTCGGATAATAAGTGTGACATTACTGTAATTATTGAACAATATAGTTCATGCCATATTCACGGAAAATCTACCAGTAAAAAAGAATTCTCTTATTCCTATATTTGTACAAAAACGCACAACCAATAAAATTTAAATTCAAACTCAGCGTTGCGACCGCACCTTCCAAAACAATAAGACATTTCCCATAGCATTTTTTCGGATTACATCTCTATTTTCGTTGTCCTCTTATTACTGAGAAGTAAAAACAAGAATAAAATCTACTTCCATACCTGATGATGTCTGTAGGAACAGACGAAAGCTTGTAAAAAATTAAAAAGAATTTATAAACGGGGATCATATCATTCATATACAGGTTCGGGGTTGATGTATCTTATTTATATTGTTTGCGACGATGTATCCTCGCCATTTAAATCATTAACCTCTATATTTGTTTTTGTATGAATGATTCATGATTATATATATATATATATATATATATATATATATATATATATATATATATATATATATATATATATATATATATATATATATATATATTGAGATATTGACTTTTTTGTAACCCTATAATTCCGTGTATAAATCGATGAACTTTTGTTCAAAAAGTAATGAAAAAAAAAATTTGTTTTTGTTCTTGAAAATGATCACCTAAAACCTAAAATTCAATT